TAGTACGCGTAATTGTATTCCAAAGAATTAATTCTCCGGATGGATGAAACAGTTTATAACCTTCTAGAGGATTTCGCCACTTACTATAAAAACATCAATTTTCTCCTATTTGTTCCTTTTTATATTTCCTCGTGTCATTAATATCATGTATTTATAATGCATTGTTTTTATTTTGTTTTAGGTGTTTCTGAACGCACCGTCACCCAGATAAGTCAAGAGGGTAATATAGCAAAGGTTCATCTTCTAAAATTGTGACGCCGGGAAAAACTAGGAACCGAAGGAAAAAAAATTATGATTTAGACGATTTCGATATGTGCGCTATAAGGCATTTAATTCAATCATTTTACGTCGTGAAGAAGGAGATTCCTACCATAAATAAACTTTGGTTGGAATTGAAAACTGATATTGGTTTTAAATATGGCATAACATCGTTGAGAAGTATTTTAAAGACTATGGGCTACAAATACAAAACGTGCCAGTCTAAACGAAAAGTATTGGTAGAACGCAGTGATATTGCAGCTTGGAGAGCAAAATATATTCTGAGGTTGCGCAAGAATGGTCCGGAAGAAAATCGACCGGTAATTTATGTTGACGAAACGTATATACATGCTTCATACCACCTTCAAAAATGTTGGCAATCGAAGGAACAGCCTGGTATTCTTGCTTCTGATAGCGTCGGTGCAAGATGGATAATAGCCCATGGTGGAGGTAAAACTGGGTTTGTTGAAAACGGACTGCTGCTGTTCAGATCTAACTCCAAATCGAATGACTATCATGACGATATGAATTCAGCTAACTTCATGCGGTGGATGAAAGAAAAAATTGTGCCGAATCTTCCAACGAATTGCATTGTAGTGATGGATAATGCGTCATACCACTGCACACAGATCAACAAGGCGCCTACAATTGGCAATACAAAAGCAGAGCTCCGAGGATGGCTTACGAGAAATGGTATTACATTTGAAGACTGTTGGACAAAAGTGCAATTATACGAATTAATTAAAAAATACAAAGGAGACCCACAGTACGAAATAGATCAAATGCTAAATGAATATGGACATGAGGTTCTCCGTTTGCCGCCTTACCACTGCGATTTAAATCCCATAGAAAAAATTTGGGCAATAGTAAAGAGACGCATTGCAGAGAAAAATATCACTCAAGCTCCTAGCGAAATAGCTGCTATTACTGAGGCGGCGTTTAGAACAGTAACGACAGAAGAATGGTTTAACGTATGCCAACATGTAGAAAAAATAGAAGATAAATATTTCCAATCAGATAGGCTGATGGATATGGAAATGGATGAATTTTTAAATAATGTTACAGGTGACACATCCGAGTCATCTGATGAAGACTCTAGCATGGATTCTGATGAAGATATGCGAATGGAAGGCGTTGTATTCACTGCAGGACCATTGTTACACCAAATTTATAAATAATAATAGGTATTCAATAAAAGATTTACAAGGTTTCCTTGGACTTTTTATTTCGTTCTTTATAATAAATAATATAATGCTATTTCAGTTGTTTCAAAATACCTTTTTGGAAAAATTTATTATAGACAAAATATTAGTAGTCATTAATCTTAGTATTAGTCCTTTTTATACACGCATATAATAGGTACCTGTAATTGTGTAAAAAAAATTGTAGTGGCATAGTTAAACTTGTGTAGTGAGGTATCAAAGTTATGAAAGTTAGAATCAAGAAATATATTTATTACGCGGATCTTAAACAACAAATATGGGGTTTAAAAAATTATTAGGTCTTTGTAAGTTTAGGCTAAACATTACAGTTTTTTTAATTGAGATTTGGTAATCAATTAGGTAATTTATGTAATTTGATATAATTATACAATTCCAGTAATAAGATTAAACGAAGGAAAAAATATTAGTTAAGCTGGCAACATTAAGCACGCAATCAGTCGCGCGCAGAGTTATCTTGCGCGCACTATAGTTTGTGACTTTTACTTTCACTCTGATTTCCTATCAGCTTTCAGAGTAAATACGTTTAAACTTTATTTTTAATATGGCTACAGTAAAGTTATATCACTTTCCCTTAAGTGGACCTTCACGAGGTGCGTATTTGGCCGCCAAAGCGATTGGGCTTCCTATTGATATCGAAATTGTAGATTTATTCAAGAAAGAACAGCTCAAAGAAAGTTTTATTAAACTAAATCCGCAACACTGTGTACCTACATTAGATGATGACGGTTTTATTTTATGGGAAAGTAGAGCTATTGCGTGCTATTTGGCCGATAAATACGGAAAAGACGATTCCTTATATCCAAAAGACTTAAAACTTCGGGCCGTAGTGAACCAGAGGCTGTATTTTGATAGTTCATTCCTTTATGTGAAGATAAGAGCAATATGTGTATGTGTTCACAGACTACTAGGGGTTTCTTGGATATAATATTATATACCCTCTTTTGCTTACATATTATTAACATTTAGACTATTCATAATTGTTGTATCAATTGTGGCATATTATATTTAACACAAAAATGCAACTTTACAGTTATAAGCTTGTATCTGATGATCATGATGTAATACATTATACTATTTTTCCCCTTTTTCAAATAACATATTTTGGAATTTTACACCTACTTTATTTCATTCTATAAATACTTTAATACCAAATACCTTAAACCTATTATATCTAATTTTTCTTTTAATAATTATTTAGATTTAATTTGGTGTTTGGAATAATAAAACTAAAAGTAAAACTTAAGCTTTGTATGAAATACTGCACATGAAATTTTGCAACTTCTAATAGCTTTGTTTTTTCATTAATTTTGATGTAAGTATGTAATATAGGTACATTAACTTTTTTTTCAGTATCCCATACTTTTTCAAGGTGTCACAGAAATTGCAAAAGCATTAAAAGACGACTTAAATAATACTCTTGAATTTCTTAATAAATTTTTGGATAACTCTAGGTGGGTAGCAGGTGATAATTGTACAATTGCAGACACCTCTATTTATGCATCTCTGTCTTCAATACTGGTGAGTCTCTATTTCTCTTTTGAGGTAATCAATTATCAAGTTGTAGTGCATCCAATAGTTTTCATAAAAATGGACTTAAGAATATTTTTCTGAGCTCTTGTCAGTACACAGCACCGTACACATGTATATATCCTACTATTGGGTACAGGCCTACTCTATTTTTGAGATGATGAGAGGGTTTTGGAGCAATTTGTACTCAGCACAGCTCTAGTACCTGTTGGTGGACCTTATATCTTTGAATTTTTTTTATTTTCCACATAATCAAGTAGTAGTACAGCCCTTAAATTTACAATTAACTAATTAATTCAACATACTGTGAAACTATTGTGAGCTGTGAGTGCTTACTTGCCATGGTTAAGCATGAATCGTCATAACATCCATTGTCTTTAAAGTGTAAAATATTTTATTTTGATGGCCAATTAGTATGCATTTAGTAGTTGCTCTGTACTTAGAAGATAGCCCCATGTCCTGATGTGGGTTTTATAGGAGAATTAAAAAGAAACCTCTTTTACTAACTTTTAATTGTAGCAATCTTCTCTAGACATCACTAGAAAAAGCTTTTATTTATTGTTTGTATTTGTTTATTCATCTAGAAAAAGAAGAAGACTTGAACACAATTTTTGCCTTGATTCAATTGTTTTTTAACGGACCTTAAAAAAGGAGCAGGTTCTCAATTCCACTGTTTTTTTTATGTTACCTCAAAACTTTTTTCTAGGTGAACTGATTTTGATGATTCTTTTTTCATATGAAGCCTAATGCTTCTCAAGTAGTCCCATATTAATTTGATAAAGATCTGACTTATAGTTTTTAAGTTATCCTTAATAGTGCATATTTAATTGGCTTTGACTACATTGATGATGTTAGCATTTTATATCTATTGAATTTTTTTGTATAAAATTTTTATTTTTACCACTTGTTCTTATAGGCAGTAGGTTGGGACATATCTACATTCCCAAATATCCAGAGATGGTTAAAAGAATGTGAAAATCTACCTGGTTATGAAGAAAGTGCAGAAGGGGCTAAGCTATTTGGAGAAGCTGTACGGAAGAACCTCAAACAAAACTAGAATATTTATTATTCTATGCATAAATAATTTTTTTACCAAATAAATTTTATATATGATATAATTGTTTAAATTTGAGTTTCAAACATCACCAGTTACATTTTCAGTAACAAGTTCAGGATCAACCGATTTTGTTGAGGTTTGTGGAAAATTGACGCAGTTTTTTCTTATAAAAACCTATTACAATAAAATTGATTTGATGTAAATTTTTCGTTCACTTTCTGAGATTTCTTTTGACAACAATATCTGTCAAACAAATCAACCGATTTTGATGTGGTTCATGGCAATTGACTTTCGAGTAGAAGAATTGATTAGATTATAGAATTGATCAAAATATGGGTATCGAAGTAATTCCAAAAAAGCACTTAAAATTAAAAACACTCGAATTTTTGAGGTTTTCTCAGAAGCTTCCGTGATGATTCGGTCTAAATTCACAGAAAATCTAAGTTCAGCGAACCGCTTTTCGATCACACTCCATTACAAAGCTATGAGATGTTTACATATACATACACACACACACACATAGAGACATCATCGCAAAAATAGCTTCCTAGGACCTCGAAACCTGATGAGAACTCAATTTTCAAAAACAGGTGAAAACAGTAATTTCCCGATTTTTTGAAAATCATTGTTTTTCATAGAGAAAAGTTAAAAATAAGACTACTTAAAAGAAAAACAAAGTTTAAAACAGGCATTTTATTATGTACATTTTACTTAACCTATTGAATTATTTTTTTCTTTATCATGGAGTCATTTAATTTTAAAATATTAAATGATTTACAACATGATTTGACTCACTGCATTCAGTTTAAGTTCTAGTCATTAGTTTTTAGCTCATCCAAAATGAATTTAGCCAATAACCTGTCAGTAGATCTTAGTTTAACCTATCCTATTTAAATTCTGAAAATATCTTTTCAGTTGCTATACATCTTTTTAATTTAATTTTTATAGAATTTTAATACTAACTGATCCTCATTTCTTACTCTTCGTCTCATAACAATCTCTGATTTGTAACCGTATTTCAACATTATAGTAATAACTTCATTTGGAATGTTTTCTTCAATTAATAAGAGGTAAAAGGTACCTTCATCAGCTAGTATCTTTGGTATCATATCTAGCAGCCGATCTGTAATTTCTCGACCCTTTACCCCACCTGCCCAACTAGCAGTTATGTCACAGCCACCACATTCTTTTGACTCAGTCACAACATATGGTGGATTAAATATAACAATATCAAATTTATTTCCAGTAAATGAGCTAGCAAGATCCATATTAACAGTCTCCACTGAGATATTATTATTTATAGCTGTACTTTTGGTCATATCACATGCCTTGTAGTTAATATCTGTGCTAAAACACATTGTTGTAGGAAATGCCATACTGAATGCTGTTATAACTACACCACTTCCTGAGCCAACTTCTAAACAAAATGTGGGGTTTTTGTTCTTTAAATAATGTAAATCCTTTTCTAGAGCATCAATTAATAAAAAACTATCTTCAGCTGGTTCATAAACATAATCATAGTCAGCCTTATCAATGTGGTTTTGATTGGGGGTTTCCATCAGTTTAATTTATACTTCCTTGGTCAGAAATAATGCCACTTGTACTTTGTTCTGGTTTTATAGCTGGTTCAGACAGTATAGGTGCTTGAGTTGGTTTGTCTTTATTAATCATACACCTTATTTCGTTCAATCTATCCTGAAAGCAAAGAAATAACATATAATTTCCATGAAAGATTTTAACATCAACATAATATCAAGTAGTGATTTTTTTATTTATTATTTATATTATGATTTATTAATTTGTTAAAACATCAATTTACCTGCGATGCTTGTAAGACATTAAGTACAACAGTAACTTTATGTTTGCATGCAATCAATTTCTTTACATAGGGATCTAAGTCTGGATGGTTGTTAAGTGCTTCTCGCACTTTCAGCAATTCTTCGTTTAATGAATCTATTTGCTGCTTTAATTCCAACTGTGATATTCTAAAATAAAAATTACAACAAATAAAATAAAGTAAAACAGTATTCAGTATAATATTTTATTTACTGAGTATTTTTAAATTCTTATATATAATCAACAAATCCCTAAATTACATTTCTTTCTATACCTATGCATATATACAATTTATAAACCATGTATCAATTAATAATGGATTAAACACCAACTACACTTTTGCAACAGACTTCAAAAAACGGAAGAACTTCTCAATTTGACTGTATTTTTTTTTTGGTGTTATTTCAAAACTTTTTGTAGTTGAACTGGTTTTGATGACTCTTTGACAGCTGTATGGTCCCAAATATTTGACAAGTAGTTTTAAAATGCGTATTTTATTGACTTCGACTACGTTGATGATGTTCTCATTTTATTTATATTGAAGTCGGCTGTACAATTATATTTATTTTATCACTTGTCTTTTTATCTTACAATTTAAAAAAATATCACAAATTTTACCTACCTTGTTGCCCGAACTCTATCGTCTAGTTGATCAACAGTCGGTTTTAGAAGGCCTAATAACCCTTCAGCGAGGGTATCCCTGGTTGGGTTATCGCATAAGTTGCCAGTGTTTTCATCTACGGACGTTGTTGTGCTTTCCGTATCATCCATTTCGCGTTCAAGACCGAGAAACTAATCAAAAATACTCTGCTGTGAAACTAATACATTTTAACGATCAACCATTAAGTTTTAGAAGGAACATGAGAATTAATTACAACGAGAATTAATTATACGTGTTTTGACAATTTTTTATTTTTTTATTTAACTGGCTTTACGGCTCTGGGTTCTAGCCCTTCTGAGCCTTTAATTTCTTTCAGAATCTTCATTTTATATATTTTTTCTTCACAATATGCTGATGCGTCGTATAGTGTTTTTTTGACGACAGCTCCAGCTTGAAACCCAATTCACTCATTGCTCATACAAATTTCAATAAATAAATGTTACAAACGCATTTTATATTACATAAAATCAGACTATTGCAATGCAATAACAACGGATCCACAACGAATCTTTTTAAACCGTCTATTTCTGAAAAGAAAGAGAAGGAATTACTGTGTTGACAGATTAAGCGAATTTTCACATTTTAGGCTTTTGATTGATGTTCACAATAATTATTTTAAAAATATCAGACCATGACGACCTACGTCACAATTGCAGTTTTCATTCCGGTGACAATTGAGATATAGTGAGATTATAATTAGGGCCGATCTTCATTGTAATGCCGTTCACAGTTCGTTCTCGGTCCGATCTCGGTCTAATAAATTATTATCAAATGAATAATATGTGTGAGCATTCATACTGTCCGTAACAATCAAGTTTCGCTCGAATCTTATTCCAATAATATAATAAGTCAGATCGAGATCGGAACTAATACCCACAACTATACCTTTTTTTTCTCGTGGGGAAATCTTCATGGACACCTTTGGTTGCGGGGGCCAAAAACCCAAAAGGTTATGCCGGACTCCTACCGGCTGAGACCTCACGGTGGTCTCCATCAGCGTGTAAGGGGGGTCCCGGGATCTCCGTTCGGAACGCAACCGGGGCCCCTCTCTCGCTTTGCTTTATTGAAAGCACGTCCCGGGGGCAGTACTTACTACCCCCAACACTATTGCTATCACGATGTTTCGGGACCACTTCCGAGCCTTTGTCCTCAACGCCGTCTTAGGCCATAACGGAGCCTTTGGGCACAGAAGAATTTGGGGCCCTGTTGGAAAGTAAAAAAAAGTGAATGACAAAAACATTTTTCTGCTATGATCATACATTTATTATAGTGAATTGGCAAAATTAGTCAAAATATTGTATAGCGTAAGCGAATAAGGTCGGTGCCTTTCGTCAATGGGGCTCCATTGACGATAGGGGCCCTGGGCACGGGCCCCGTATACCCTTATGGTAAAGACGGTACTGATCGTCCTTCTCACGGGTTACATTACTAGGCATTCGCGGCCTCCGCCCCAAATAAGCATTTGCAACCCCAGAGGCCCCGTTTCTGGTAGGGGATCACCATCTTCAAGGGAGGGCCGTGACGAGCGCCTTAACGGCGTCGTCTCCGAGTGGAATCTGTCCTCCTACGATCCCGCTCAGCAACCTCCTTCTGGACCATTACGGACTCACAGAAGGGCCGTCCCTCCACGCCGAATCCTCGCTCAGCATCGCCGACACGACTGCTGGCAGGGAAAGGTTCCGACCAATCCAACTTGCCAGGATTATCCGCTCCCGTTCCCATGCTAGGCAAACCGCAAGCGTATAGGACGCGGAATCCTGATCCGGCCCACCACAGTGAAAGCAGTTCGCCGTCGCTTCGCGTCCGATCTTACACAGATAATCACCGAAGCACCCGTTCCCAGTAATTATTTGTGTAAGTCTGTAGGTGAATCTTCCTACTCGTCGCTGCATCCAGGCTTCGAAAACCGGTAGGATAGCGCCAATGACGCGTTTCCGTGCATAGCGCTCCTCATTAAGTCGTGTTCGCCTTGTCGCCAATGCTTTCTGTTGCTCCTGCCGTTTTAGAGACTCTAACGCCTCATCTGGCTCACTCTCACCTCCCTGATGGAGGATGCGGATTCGGTTGTCGAAGCCCCAGCGACTGTCCAGGTAGAACTCTAGGTACTTCATGTACAGCCCTACTCTGATTTCAGATGCACCCACGTGGATGCACGAGTCGGGTGGTTCCGTGCTCCGAGGTAATTTGTAAAACCATAAGGCCTCGGTTTTATGAGGCGCTATTTCTAGACACAACTCGTGGATTTTAGCAACGACAACTTCCGTCCCAAGGTCGGCGATCTCCTTGGTCCCCTCGAATGTGACCCCGCTGGTAACCACCAGTGTGTCATCGACATAGCACACGATATTTACGCCAGCAGGAAGGTCGACACGCAGAACCGCATCGTACGCGAGGTTTCAAAATAGCGAACCCAGCACCGAGCTCTGTGGAACCCCACGTTTGATCTCCCTCCGGATCTTCCTACCATCTTGCCCCATGTACAGAATGTACCTGTCGCACAAGTAGTCCCCGATTATGCCTTGCATGTAGGCAGGCACCTGGTAATGTGCTAGTGCCCTCCTGATTGCATCCCAGGGTGGAGAGTTAAAGGCATTGACGATATCGAGACTTACCGCCAGCGCCACACTACCCTGGGCTACTGCTTGTTCCGACAGGGAACGGACACGCATAATAGCATTTACGGTGGAACGCTCCCGTCGAAATCCAAATTGGCTGTCAGCCAAATCGGGACCGACGCGCGACAGATGTCTGTTGAGCCGAGTGGCAACTATCCTTTCGAACAATTTGCCAATCTCGTCCAACAGGCATATGGGACGGTACGCAGAGGGAGAATCGGCGGCCCTGCCTTCCTTCTTCAAGAGGACCAACCTTGCCTCTTTCCAAACTGTGGGGAACTTGGCACTCTGCCGGCAGCCGGTGAACAGCTGTCTAAGCCTGCCCCCAAGGCAGCCAGACTCAGCATTAGAGCCTGACCCAGAATTCCGTCAGGCCCCGGTGCGGTGTTTCGGGCTCGCAAGCAGCTTACGGCTCGGTCTAGCTCCTCCACGGTCACCCCCATCTCATCATTCCACTCCCATGACGATGGAAGGTGACCTGAGGGACTTGACCGGTCCTCTGGGAAAAGTGTGCTGATCACTCTTCCCAGCAGGTCCGGATCGAGAGTTTCCGTCAAGGGGAGCGTCCAGGGCCGAAGTTTTCCAAGCACTATCTTCTACAGTCGACCTCAAGGATCTCTTAGAGGGCTAAGAGCTCTTTCCAGGACCGAGCCCTGGCATTAGATATGGCTATTTGTAATGCCTTTGTAGCCGTTCGTTATGCCCCGTAGAGTCTGGCTATCTCCTCTGGTAGAGCTCGCCTTCTCCTTCGGGCTCTAGTGTACTAGCGTCGACTCTGCAAGCAGATCGCGCGAAGGTTTGCGATTTCGACCGACCACCAGTAGATCGCCCTGCACTTGGGACCACCGGTTCTGGGCATCGATACGTCGCATATTTGCGCCATCGTAGCCCGAAACCAGTTCGCTTCCCCTTCCGGATCGATGTGAACCTCTTCGCCTTTTTCCGGCACGGCCGCGACGATGGTGGCGGCTTCAAGCTTGTCTCGGTTGAGCCGCTTGACGCACCAACGCCGCGGTGGGCTGCTTTCTCGACGACAGGAATTACTGTTGAAGTGGCGAAGTGCGACATCGAACACGATGTGGCGGTGGTCCGACAATATAACCACCTCCGTCGCAACTCGCCAGCCCGACAGCGCTCGTATTGCAGGAGGAGTTGCCCATGTGAGGTCCACTATGGACTCCCCATGCCATCGCACATATGTACTCTCAGACCACCGGTTTAATAGTCGGAGGTCCAGACCAGGCGCCTACTCCATTAAATTCCTCCACATAACTCCTTTCGGATCGTCCCTGGAGTTGCCCCAGGCCCTAATATGCGCGTTAAAGTCTCCTAGGACGATCAACGGACCAGGTAAGCACCCGCGCACGCAATCCGCCACCTCGGTGCACCTACAGGTACTCCTCGTAGTTGGCGTGGGTCCTGTTGGGAGAGACATAGCAGCCCACTATGACCAGGCTGCCACACTGCACTGCAACAAAGCCCTGCTCCCTTTGCAGGGGGAAGCAGGGTGAAGCACCATCACCACCCCCCTCCAGTAGATGCCTATGGAGCCCGATTCATCACCGAACCAGCGTAGATGGTTGGGGACGGTATGGGGCTCTGTTATTACTGCAAGGGCAACCCGCCACTCCACAATAGTCTGCATAAGCAATGTTGCGCATTGCGGCAGTGGTTCAGGTTACCCTAAAGGACTTTTAGGGGCGTGAATTTTAGGTCCCAGCAACTTCCATTACCGAGTCAGAGCTCGGTGCTGCAACAGGTGCTGATGCAACCGTCCCGTTGGAGGGGCTGGGAGAGGGTGTACTCTTCCTAACACCCCATTTCGCTGGTTGAGCGCATTTTTTCCCCAACCTATGGTTGGAGAGGCGCCCGAGGTTAGAGCAAACGGGACATTTAAGTGCCGACGCAGTACACTGGTTTGCTCTATGACCTGGTTCGCTGCAGGCGTAGAAGCGGATGCTCCTGTCTGCCTCGTAAGGGCACTTACTGCCCACATGCCCCTTCTCGAGGCATCTATAGCAGTGCATAGGCCTGGGCTCCACCAGCTCCACTCGAGTGGAACCCCAGCCTACGCGTGTGCGTCCTTCAGCCATTATTTTTTGAACCACTGCTACTGGGCACCGCACCCAGCACGTCCCCATGCTGGTGAGAGTTCGGCGAACGTCTCCAACTTTGATATTGTCTACCGAACAACCACCCAACTCGGCGATTGCGGCTGCTATCTCATTAGAGCTGACAGCGTTGTCAAGGTCCCTCAGTCGGACATCGCGCAATTTCGCTGCCAGCTTATCCGTCCTTGAGTTACATTCAAGGCCCGTAATCTCGAGTAGTAAACCCCCTGTTACAGCTCACTTTTGGCGAACGGAGTCGATTCCCAACTCTGTCAATCAGATCTTGGCCTTTGCTTCCGCATTACATTGGCATATGTAAGTGCCGAGTCCTCAGGCAGCGTCACCGTTACTGCCGCTGACGCTGGGGTATGTATTGCATTTTTT